GCAAAACCTGTTGTTTGCAGTACAATTCTGGAATGATTGTTTCATACCTACAGTATACATGCCTTGTTTCTGCTTATTATTACCAGTCTCTCATATACATATTTAAGGTCATACCAGAGCAATTGGACCCACTTGATCAATTTTCCTTACCAGGAATGGAAAATCTGTGCCTGTCCAGATATTGCCGAATTGACATTCCCGGGAGCTCCAGTCAGTCAGGATGACAATGAGGTATTCTGGGAATTATAGCCCAATGACATCTCAAGAACTACTGGTTTCCCATCCCTTCCTCTGCATGAAAGTCACGTTTTCCCTTATCCTGGGAAAAGGCACAGCTGCTTTAAGAAGTCTCGTGCTACATTATCACCTCCACACACCAAAAGGCTGCACAGCGCAGTAAGTTCATATGATGCTTGTTGGAAATTGGTGATACATAAAATGAGATATTAGCTATTTGATTTCTGGATACATGCAATCCTCTTTTCCCTAGTCCAAGAATAAACTTAAGGATAAGAATTGGATAGTGGCAATGGTAGAGGGAGGTAGTGGGGAGATATTGTCCATCTATTGTAAATTTAAATACTAAAGGATAAATACCACCCCTCCTCTCACTCATTTTGTAAGTTCTAAGAGTATAATTCTTATCCTACTGCAACCAGTGGTTAAATTTTCATTGATGTTAATCGCTCCAGATGTTGCCTGGCGCCACTAAAACTTGAACTAGTTTTAATGGTGGCATATGTCGAGTTGCTGTAACCATCTTTGTATCAATTCACTCAGGAGAAGAGGTTGTGTGGCTCTTCACAGATGGCTCAGAATGGGCTTCTCTTGGGAGTCGAGTGCTTGAACCTTCTTAAGCACCATTAGCTGATTCATTTTAATTTGATTCCTGCTCAGCATCCAGCAAGGGATTTCCAGATTTTTTTTTATTGAAAAGTTTTACAAAGAAAATTCCCCCCCCAGTATTCCCCCCACCCCTTTTCCTTCCCCACCTCCCCCACACCCCTTCCCCCCTTCCCATCCCCCCTTCTCCCCCAGACTTCCCAGAGCAAAATACAGGGTATTTCAATTAACAATCATAAGCTAAATGAGCCTAACTATTCTTAAACTGCCAAATCCCCCCCTGAAACCTTAACTCCACTATGGATAACATAATACTTCTAAAGTTTAACATTCATTCATAAGCTATTTGATATTTTCTTGTCTGATACTTATTTTGAATATAATCAATCCATCTTCTCCATTCCGATATGTATCTTTCTTGTGTATAGTCCTTCAAATATGCTGAAATTTTTGCCATTTCCGCTAAATTCGCTACTTTCAATGTCCACTCTTCAATAGTAGGCAAAGAGTCCTTCTTCCAGTATTGCGCTACCAACAGCCTAGCTGTTGATATTAAGTTCAAAATCAGTTTAGTCTCTAATGCTGTACAATCCATCGTTATTCCCAATAAAAACAAATGAGGAGTAAATTTCAACCTTTTTTTCAGAATATTCTGCATTACCCACCAAATTTTTATCCAAAATGCCTTGATTTTCTTACAAGTCCACCATATATGATAATAAGTTGCATCATCACATTCACATCTCCAACATTTAGCTTGCAAATAGGTTCGGATACATACATAATTTTTTAGGGTCTAAGTGCCATCTATAAAACATTTTATAAAAATTCTCTCTCAAATTTTGTGCTTGCGTAAATTTAACATTTCTAACCCAAATCTTTCCCCATGTTTCCATCATCACTGGTTCCTGAAAGTTTTGTGCCCATTTTATCATACAATCCATAACCAGTTCCGTTTCCGAATCTATTTCCAATAAAGCGTTATACAACCTTTTAATATGCATCTTTGATCTCTAATCTGTTTTACCAGGTTTTCCTCATTTTGCATGACACCAATTTTTTGATCTTCCCTCCATCTAGCTTGAAGTTGACCATACTGAAACCAAGTATAAATTATCCCTTCTTCTTTCAATACATTTAAAGATTTCAATTGCAGTTTACCCCTTTCCATAAAAAGAAGTTCTTTATAAGTAATCCCCTCCATTTTTTGTTCTATACTTATATTTTCTATTGCATGTCTGGGATTTGCCCATATAGGTATCTTGTAGTTTAGCTTATATTGATACTTTTTCCAAACCCTCAGCAATGCATTTCTAAGTATATGACCCTTAAACACTTTATCCACCTTTTTTCATATAACAAATAAGCATGCCATCCATATAACAGATCATAACCGTCTATATTTAACATTCTCTCTTCAGTTAAATTAAACCAATCACTAATTTGTGATAAAACAGCTGCTTCATAGTACAATCTTAAATTAGGCATTTTTAAGACCTCCTCTCTCGCGTACATCCTGTATAATTTTCAGTTTCACTCTTGGTTTCTTCCCGCCCCAAATAAAAGTATTAACCCCTTTCTGCCACTCCCTCAAGTTTCCGTCTTTCTTAAGCACTGATATCATTTGAAACAAAAATAAGAACCTAGGTAATACATTCATTTTTATTACTGCTATCCTTCCCAGTAAAGATAGTTGTAGCTTTTTCCAATTTTCCATTTCTTTCTGCACTTTTTGCCAAAGAACTTCATAATTGTTTTTAAATAATTTCGTATTTGAGGCTGCAATATATACTCCTAAATATTTAACCTTTTTAACTATTTCAAACCCCATTATTCTCCCTAAATCTTCTCTTTGAGATATGGACATATTTTTAGTTATCATCTTTGTCTTATGTTGATTTACTTTAAATCCAGACACCTTACCATATTGACCTATTATGTCCAACATATGTGGAGCTGATTCTATAGGTTGAGATAAAGTAACAACCAAGTCATCTGCAAACGCTCTTAATCTATAATCTTGCTGTCTAATTACAATTCCTTTTATTTTATCAGAGTCACGTATCTTATTCAACAAGACTTCTAAAGGGATTTGCAGATTCTTAAAGAACATGTACCTCAAAGAATATGTTGCCGTTAATATCTTTTTTTTCCAGCAGTCACCTGAATTCTGGAGAATGCTGCGTCAGTGCACAGACTACAGCAGGTAAAACATTTTGTCTTTCTTACTGATGGCTCTTTCCCAGGATGAAGGCAGACTAAAAGCTCAGCAAATTATTACTCACTCTGAAGCATAATAACCTACAGGTAGGATTTCTTTTACTTAGGAAAAATGCTCCGGCTGATTTTCCCTTTAGAAAATTTCTAGAAAATGCAAATTCTAATATATTTTCTCTCTCTCCCTGCATGCAAGTGAGGGGAGAGTTTTTTAAAAAACCAGAGACTTATAGGGAGACGATTTCTCCCCCCACTCATGTCAATTTTAGGACGTCATATCTGATGCCAGAATCCCTCCCTACTTCACTCAAATATAGAGGGAAGAGGAAGAAATTGCCAAAGAGCCAGTTTGGTCTAGTGGTTAATGTACCAGACTAGTAAGTGGGAGATCATGAGTTCAAGTCCCACCTTAACCACGAAAGCCAGCTAGGTGAGTTTGGGCCAGTCACTCTCAGCCCAACCCACTTCACAAAATGGGGAAAATAGGAGGAAGTGCATTGGATATGTTCAGTAAAAATAATAAAGGCGTAATACAAATAAGTAAATACAGAAGATTCTATTAACATAGACAATAAAACTAGTCCTGACCTATACGACAATGGTTTCTGAATTTGGTCTATCTTGATGGACCTATATTTGGCCCGATAGTTAAAATGAATCTTTGGGTTCAAAAGACAAGAACTTCTGGGCCTTCCTTATAACAAGGCTCTTCATAATCCTTTCTTTCAAATATAATAAATATTTGTTAGCATATTTCAATGGCTGGGCTAAACCAATAGTCTGCATCCAAGACAACTATATTATTTTACTTTTTCAATGTGAGGTTTTACCGTTTGTTTGCTTGGGATTCTTTCGGTGTTTTATGTTCAGGAGCACATTCTATAACAAGACTTCCTGCAGAATACAAAACTCTATGGCTATAGAGTAGTTTGCCTTTGGAACTTCCTTCATGCAGTTTAGGAAATTTAAAAAACTCTTTAATCTGTATGGTTTAAGGTTCTCAGATACAGTAAGTGTTAGTAATTTGTTCCTTTGGATTTTACTATTTAGGTGAGTCACCTCAAATGACAAGTAGGGCCAGGCTACATATAAATTATTATGATCCATCCTTTATTTTAACCTCTATTTCCCACAGACTATTCATTTGTTCTTAGCAGAGCAAAAATCCAATACAATTGCAGAGTCCTCAGATCTGTTTTTAAAAAACAGATATGGATAAATTGTACCTTGATCTCTGCTGTCCCAAGAAACTATTTGTTGAAGTATTTGTTGATCAGCATGAATCTGCTAGATAGTAACAGGAGAAAGGCTGGAAACTATAGGTTTGTTAAATCCAGTGCTGCAGACTAAATGTAAATATGAAAAATGTGACCCAGACCCATTGCATTGGCAACCTTCAGTCTCAAAAGACTATGGTATCGTGCTCTGGAAAGAGGTCCTAAAAAGCATCTGGTGTGACTAAAAAGGCCAATTCGAGAGTGGCAATCCCTTCCACACTGAGGGCAGATACATTCTGTCCCCTGCCCAGCTCCCAGATTTCGCTGGTTCTGGGACTGCCTCTGTCTCAGCCTGCCGAAGAAGTGTCTCTTTGAATTGGAGAAGGCCATGCTGCGTCTTTAGCCTCTAAGCTATACAATCACAAGTCAAGGTTTCCCAGTCATTAATTCATTAAGTCATCCATTCCTAAGGTCTTTAGATCTCTCTTGCAGATATCCTTATATCACAGCTGTGGTCTCCCTCTAAGGAGCTTTCCCTGCACTAGTTCTCCATACAGGAGATCTTTCAGAATCCGACCGTCAGCCATTCTCACGACATGCCCAAATTTGGGACCCAGACCCAAATGGTTTCATAAATCTATAAATGGAAATTCTGATATTGAGAATTTTTAATAGGTTAGCTAATATCCAAAAAGTTGCTTCTCTTATGCAAAATAGTCTTGATACTTTAAACACCATGGGTAACGTATTTATTTTGTTTTACTGTTTTAATTTATTAAAAGGAGGAGAAATAAGATAGTTTAGTTATTCAAATACAGAAGGAAAGTTAAAAGTATAGTAGAAATAGCACTTAGACTTATAGTGCTATTTTATAGTGTTTCATAGCCCTCTCTAAATGGTTTAGAGTCAGCATTTTGCCCCCAACAATCTGGGTCTTCATTTTACCGACCTCGGAAGGCTCAGTCAACCTTGAGCTGGTGAGAATTGAACTGCTGGCAGTCGGCAAAATTAACCTGCAATATTGCATTCTAACCACTGTGCCACCACGGCTCTTAGTAGCCTGATATATGCTTATCTTTTCTTAATCCTAATTGTTACAGAAAAATATATACTCTGAAATCATTCCAATTTAGGACACTGCATAAATGGTAAGAAGAGAGTCACTGTTGATCTTTGCTTTCTTGCTGAGGTCATCCCAATTCACTTTAATTGATGAACCGTCTTCCCAAATAAATAGTTTTTCGAGAAAGGAGCATCTTTCACCAGGACTAAAAAGGCAGGAGTTCCAGCTTTTACAAAGTACCTGCAAAATAATATTTAGAAAGTCATGTTCTAGTTTTAGCTACCTTATATATTTAACTATATTCAAGAAAAAGCTAAACTGGTGTTTGAAAATGTTTGTTTTATATGACTGTTTCTATAATTCCAAAATTGGTAGCTACTACTACAAACCCACAGGTTAGATTAACTTTTCCCGAACAGATAGTCTCCAGAATATGTAGAGCTCCCATAAACTCCCATCCCAAATACGTAGGCTTGTGTTGAATTCAGGATAATGGGAGCCTAATTACAACATTTCTGAGGTGGATTAGCATGGGAAAAACTGTTCCGATACACGCAAGAGATTTTTGAAGGAAACTAATAGGCTATCCCAGTATATAGAGATATTTTACCTACAGATATTCTTGACAGATGAGTCATCTAGAGGGTGAATTAGGTTACAGATCCTATAACCGTCAGCCAGCAGAATGATGGAAGCTGTGGTCCAGTGTATCTGGAGAGCCTAACAGATTCATTCAGGTGGTGATTTATCATGTCAAGAGTGAAGAGCGTGCCCCTGGCAAGTCACTTTGACATGCCAGTCATCCAAAAATATAGCATAAATGTCTTCAATAAAAATGACGGTTATGGGGAAGCATTTGCATGTACAGCCCTTTAACTAAACATTGTCACTACAGAGTTGTGTTAGCCAGCACAATGCAACTGAGAAAGGAAGGCCATTCCTTGTGTGGCAAGGTCTACCTACAGAAATATAGGTAGGTAAAACTATAGGATTCTCTCCATCTTTTTTCGTTTTATTTATGTAACTGTTTTGAAACTAAAGACTTCTTGGGAGATCAGCCAGCCATTATAGTGCTGTGATACGGAACCATTAAACCAATGTCCGGAAATATTAAAACTATGTTTGGAAAACTTCAGTGAAATACATTAACTAACTGAGCTGGTATGTAGCCCGTGTACAACACAGGCTAAGTTCTGTGCTGCTTCTTTACTTTTAATAACATATTGTTGATAATTGTATGCTTCTCAACAATAGGGTATTTTTTGTATATAATTTTTATTAAAAGTTTTAAAATAAAAACTAATACAAATGAATATAAAATAAGGAAGAAAAAAAAGAAAGGAAAGAGAAAGCAAAAAATGCAAGAAAAGAAAAAAGTTGAAGAGAAATAGAAAAGAAATAAAAAAAGATACAAGGATATATTTCTGATATTCTTCAAAGCAGTTACAAGTACAATTATGTTTTAATCTATCACTATAAAGTTACATCATATTACTCTTCATTCTATAAGCTATACTATCTAATCAGCACAGCCATAAATCACAAGTTTGGTTTGTTTCATTTTCATGCAAAAAGTCCATAAGGCGCTTCTAATCACCAATAAATACAGATAATGTCTTTTCTGTAATCAAAAAAGTAAACAAGGCTCTTACCTGGATAAATTTTGATTTATTTTCCTTTTGAAATCATGACCCTATTCATTCAATACCTTGCATTCTGAGAGTCAGGATTAATAAAATGTTCTTAGTTGTTTTTATATTTATTTCTAGTTTTGTATGTTAACCAGAGGCCATTAGAGTTGGATGGTCAATAAATTTAAAAAATAAAAATAAAAATAGCAGCAACAACAAAACTCAAGTCATAGTTCACCATCTCACCTTTTGTGCTGCAACACCTCTAACAATGTGGTTTCTGGGTTTATCTGGTATATATCTCCTCTTTCTTCATCCTCAAAATAAAGCTGTTCATTGTCATAGGAGAAACAAACAAATTTAACGCATGAACAAAATGATTAACATATTATACAGACGAGGCAGAACTTACTTAAAAAACTAACAAGCAATTAATTGGCTGATGTGAATCTGAAGACTTAATTATTTTATTCTGGTTATATAAAGGTGAGTGTGGAGTCTGGAGCTTTTAGTAACTTAGAACTGCTAAAGATAATGAACTGAAGGAGAATGTTACTGGACAAGGTCAAGGGACTATCTAGTCTAGCATTGTGGCACATGTGATCAGTGAGTTGTGGTCAGGAAGCTCAGAAACAGGGATAGTGGGTAACAGATCCTTTTCACTGTTGTTGGTCCCTAATAGCTGGTATTAAAGATAGACTACCAATGAATCAGGAGGTAACCCACAACCATCAGAAGAATCTTTGATAGCTCATTCTTCCAGACTCCTTTTAAAATCACCCAAATTTGTAGCTATCACACATCTGAGAGCAGAAAATTCCATCCACTCATTTTATTTCCTGGAACTTCTCTACTGAAATGCATCACATTCAAAACGAATTATTCTTTCTAAACTTAATCTTTTTTTTTGGAAATAAAAGATATTTATGACAACCAAGAAGGAATTCTTTTAGAAAGATTCTATTCATCATATTGGCTTGTCTAAGATTAATAACTGATCATATTATGAAACTGGCCTAGATATACAAACTTAATGGTAACTTAATTAAGACACCATATTAATGCTTTTTTTTAAATTGCTCCTTAGGGTCCATTATGCAATATAAACCTAGAATTTAAAATATCCCTTCTCCCAAAAGTTCAATTGAGAGTAAGCAAGGAATCCAATATAATACATACATACATGCATGCATGCAAATGCATCTTAATTCTAACAATTCTAAGAATATATCATTTTTTTTAAAAAAAAATCAAATACTGACTGTGCTTTTGTACCTCTAGTTCTTTAGGAACGTATTTTCTTTCTGTATCCCAGGCAGGAGATTCTTCAAACATAACAACTAAATGGTCAGAAAATCTGAAACACAAAATGCATTAAGTGAAAATAGTGCTTTAGCCACCCAAAGTGTTCAACTTGAGCAGTGTTTTGCTTTGTTATTTTGTTGTTAAAGCAACATAGTTTCATTAAAAGCTGATAATGGGTACCAAAATCTTCAGTATTATATCCCTACTCTATTATTTCATAGAATGATCAGAATCTCATTGTCTTTTATTTAAGGCTGTGTTACTAAAGTCAAAAGTGTCTTATGTATCAAAGAAATAACAGAACCCCTGCTTCACCATGGAAATCAGGTTTCACCTTGGCAGCTTATGCTGTATGGTGGAAAAGCTCCTGTTTTGGTATTACCTGATAGAAAAAGTATAAAAACATTATGGGAGTAGAACAAGAGAGACTTGCAGGATTAAAATAGCTTTCCTGATATTCCCCAGAATGGTAGGTAAAAACTAAAGCAGCCCAATAATTTTTCTCTCCCTATTGCCTCAAGTGTCATTGTTTTATGTTGCTCCAAGTGCAACTTATAGAAAGGCAAAATAGACAACAAAAACAAAGTATGGCTGAAAATGATCCAAGAAAACATTCCATTTTCTCTTTCACCAAGAGAACAGCACAGTTCCTCAGGAATGACAGGAGTGCTCTGCTCATCAGAACCTCTCTATTTGTACAGTATTGTGGTTGAAATATCTAGAACAGGATACATTTGCTATTCCACTTCAACATGTACAGCAGGCCAGCAGCATAAACTCATTCCTCTATATATCACTGGCATAAACCACTCAAGCGTTGGACTGTGAAAAAAATCATACAAACTAGACCTACAATTTAATATGCTATTTTGTGCTTTGAGAAACATTAACCTGGATTCTTCATGAAAAGCAGAAATGAAGTCAGTTTGTCCATGCTCGGGATACAGGAAAAGCACTGGCCAGGTAAGACTGCCGGTGTCTTCTAGGTAGACTTTGGCACCACTGCCGCTTTCAGAGCTGAATCCATCTAAAGACATCTCAGCGAGGTCTTTTGATATGGCCATCTCATCTGCTGAGGGGACCAGAGACAATTTGATGTTTCGATCCTAGATCAGAAAAGTAAAACAATCCAGCTTGAGGCACGGATCTAAAACACATCAGGATGGGTTCACATTTCAAGGGTTGCTTTCTTTTCACAACTACCTTAATAGCTTTAAGCAAGGCCTCTTTCTGAGACTGTTCCTTCTTCTCCTGAAATTTTGCTTTTCTCAAATCTCGCTCTTCAGTACGCTGCAAGACAAATAAAGTTATGCAGCAACAGTGTAAGAGCTGCCAATGCTTCACCAAACTCTGTATCAGAGGGACTACGTGTTTTTATTTTTAATCCTTTCTAACCTTAAGTCTGTCTGCTTTTGTTCTTATTTCCAGAAGTTTTTTTTCCTGCGGATCTAATTTCAGACCCTCCTCACACCATGCCATAGCTTCAGAGAAATGCTTGAGTTCCACATGGCACAGTGCTCCTATAAAAGTACAGCATTTTTTTTATAATTGTATTCCATAGCAAGCAATATACTTTAAACAAGCCAATGTAGTAATGTTGGTCATGTTTTTTAATGATGAAAGTGCAGAAAAGTACCAGAAAAAGAAATGATGGGATGTAAAGACTCAATGATTGAAGGGTTGAAACATTTATCCAAGCCAGAGGGACTATTTTTCATCATTAAACTACCATAGATGATCATTGCAGGTGCTTCTATTTAGTTTGTCTCCTGCTGACCAGAAATGCAAACAACCCTTAAAAACTACATTGTTAATATCTGAACGTTTCTAACTTTCTACAAAATTACACCTTGCAACGCATGAATGTATTGCTCTGAATCTTTTAGCTTGATAAATAGAATTCCCTTAATTACATGGAATCTAACATTATACTGCGAGAATTGGACATAAAAACAATAGTGGACTTTCTTACCCCTTATTATTGCTTTGAGGTGGCTGGGTTTCAGTTTTCTTGCTGCAACAGCATCATTCAGAGCTGAGCGATAGTTGCCTAAACAAAATAGAACCTGAATTTAAAAGTTTTACCTATGCAAAGTCTCTATGGTGTGATCTTCATTAGAAAAAAATTGAACCATTCTGCTATAAGACTAATTTAGTATTGGAATACAACTATTTTAATTGATTAGGACAAAATATGATGCAACCCCTCCCTCCAATTACTCATGTTAAGGTTTATTCTGTTAGTGTACTTTTGATTTCATAGTACAGGGCAGTTTCTGATGTTTTGATTTTCCACTGTAACACTACACACTCTACTTTACCAAAACTAACTGTATTAAAATGAAGGGGGAAGGGGGGGGGGAAATATGTAAACTTTTTGTAAAACTTTTCAATAAAAAAAAAAAGAATCCTCTGAAGAGATTTATTTATTTATTTTATTTATTTTTCTTATACTTATATGCCGCCTTCTCCCAAAGGACTCGGGGCGGCTCACAGAAATTAAAACGATGAAAATAATAAAAATAGCTACTAAAATAATCAATTAAAATCTCCCAATTAAAAATCACCCATCAGATCAGCAAATTTGTTGGAAAAGCCATGTCTTCAGGTCACGGTGGAAAGAGCGGAGGTTGGGGGCCGTCCAGAGCCCCGTGGGTAACCCATTCCAGAGGGTCGGTGCGCCCACAGAGAACGCCCTCATCCTAGGCGCCACCAGCCGACATTGTCTGGCCGATGGCACCCAGAGGAGGGCAGTCCTATGTGAGTGCACAGGGCGGTGGGAGGCAGGCAGAAGGTGGTCCTGCAGGTACCCCTAGGTAATCTATGATAAAGGAGTATTAGAACAAATGAAGAAAAGAAAGATATTATCATCATTACCCAGGTAAAAATGGGCTGCTGCTCTGTTTGTATGAAGTACAGTATTCAATTCCAGATCACTGCATTTCTTTTTCAGTCCTTCTGTGTACGATATCACAGCCTTCTTATAATCCTTTTCTTTGAAATAATCATTACCTTCATTCTTATAAGTCTTAGCTTGCTCTGGTGAGGAAAACACAATAGACATCCCCATTTTTAGAAAGCGTCTGATTAGATATGAATTGTTTGAGCCAGCAATACAGCTCCAAAGAGGGAAATTATAACCTGTTTAATATTAAAATATTATACATAGTATAAAAGGGTACCTTCAGAACTCTGATCTTCATCAAAAATGATGGACTGAAGGCATGCCAGATCAGGATTTTGTTTCGGATTTATTTCAGTGGGAGCATTCTTCATGAACATTGGAATCTGATCGAATTCCTATGAACACATACAGGTAATTCAAGATATCAGGAATGGAAGAAAATAAACAATTCAAATCTTTTACTCAATTTTGAAAATATACCCAATATCTGAAACATCTAAAAGTAAGGAAGTTTTGCTTATGCTGTTAATCTGAGGGCCTCCAGATGTTGCAGTTCATTCAGCCAGCATGGCAAAACTGTGGATTTCAATTAAGCACATCTGGAGGATACATTCCTCATACCTGGCCTGAAAATTTAATTGTACTCATGATTTTTTAAAAGAGGTTTTAATTTTCAGCTGTCAACTTTGTAAATGAGTACAGCCATTGTTAGGAAATACTGCATTTAACCTTCCCTAAAACAATTGTCACTAAGAAAAGTTATCTATGTAGTTGCTAAGTATCAATACACATTAAGAGGGCAGATAATCATTATTAACCCATCAAAAGAAGCAGATCTGTAATGACTAGTTTGACCCTGTAGGCAAAAGGATGTAATCCCTGAAAAAATGCATTTAAATCCCCATCTAGGCTTCCCTATGAGCTGCACAGCAGATCACAGGCTATTCACAGGTTCAATTGCAAGAGAGGTAAATCCTCGATTTACAACCACAATTGAGCTCAAAATTTCAGTTGCTAAGCAAGAGTTATTAAATGAGCTTTGTCCCATTTTATGACTTTTCTTGACACAGTTGTTAAGTAAATCATTGAAGTTGTTAAATTAGAAACACAGCTGTTAAGTGAATCTGGCTTCCCCGCTGCCTGACTGTCAGAAGGTTGCAAAAAGGGATGACGTGACTCAGGGATGCTGCAACCGTCCTAAATACATGCCAGTTGCCAAGTATCCAAATTGTAATCCCGTGACCACGAGGATGCTGCAACCATCCTAAATGTGAAAATCGACCAGAAGTTGTGTTTTTTTTAAAAAAAAGATTTCTATTCTATTCTATTTTTTCAGTGCAATTGCAAACTTTGCATGGTCACTAAACACATGCTTGTAAGTCGAGGACTATCTGTATTACCAGGAAGAATCGCTGGAGAACTGCATCCAGCTGTGGTGGCCTTAACCAGGGTCGTCCCCTTCCACGTCTCCGACTCTCAGCCCACCTTACAGGGCTGTTCGGAAGAATCAAAACGCTCCTTCAGGACCTCTGGCTGGCTGAGGAATTCTGGGAGTTGAAGTCCACAAGTCTTAAAATTGCCAAGGTTGGAGACCCCTGCTCTGGAGGAAGAACTGCATAAAGAGAGACGATATCGTGCCCGGATCAAACCTTGCAGCTTTGCTTCGCCTCTCCCGCTCCTTCCAACCAGCGCTGCCCACCCCAAATCCGAAACGCGCCTCCCCGGCGAAGAGCAGGGCCTCCCACTGCCCCAGGCTCCGCAGCCTCACCTGCTCCCACGTCGTGGGATCGAAAGCCCCCTCGTACCGCTGCGGGCCCTGAAATTTGTCGAGGAAGGCATCCCAATCCGCCTCCTCGCTTTCCGCCATGTGTGAAAGGGTCGTCCCTCGCCTCGGCCGCTCCGCCCTTCCGGAGGCGGCTCTTGCAGCCGAGAAAGGCGAGCGCGGGCTGTCGGGGCTTGCAAATGATGCGACGCCGGGGTTTCTTTCCTCGCTGCGGCTACCAGGCCCACTGGACTACACCTCCCATTATCCTGACTTGGATGCATACTCTACTACAAGGGTGGCTCAGGAATTCTGGGAGTCGAAATCCACAGGTCGTAAAGTTGCCCTACTTGCCCATCCCTGCTGTAATTAGGAAACCTGGCTAGAGAAAACAATTGTAATATAACCGCTTCCCACCCTTAAGTGTACACTGCCTAGTTCACAATTGTCTAATAAAAGACTTGTGCCTTCCTTGTCCATCAGCCCAATGATACTGCTTTTAGCAATAGCAATAGCATTTAGACTTCTTTTTTTAAAAAAAAAATATTTTATTAGTTTTAAAAGTAAAACAATGGACATTGCTCAAGGTCTCTGGCTTCTAACATTGGCATCTAAATCAAGTTAATAAGTAATCTATTCCTTAATCTATACAAATTTACATATCTCCTATTTCATTATATATCAGTTATGCAGTATTTTACTTCCTAAACAACTATGTATTTAATAAACCTATATTACATTCACAAATTCAATATATATTGATATACATTGATATATACATTTCCAGACATTCGTTATCCCTTGTTTTTGGCATTCTTCCTCTTATCTAACCAATTATAAAATTTATTCCAGACTTCATAGTATGTTGATTCACTTTTGTCTTTTGAGCTCTAAAGTGAGTCTGTCCATCTCTGCACAGCTGTAAATTTTGTGTATTACTTCTTCTGAGGGCATTTCTTTACACTTCCATTTTTGAGCAAATGCTAGTCTAGCCGCGGTAAGTATATGCAATATTAAATAGATTACATTATTGTCATATTTGCCATCTGTTATGCCCTGTAAGAAAACTTCTATTTTAAACATTAACATCTCTTCTAACCAGCTTATTTGCTGCTAGAAACTTCTGGCTTTTGAGTTCAAAAGTGAGCATTTAGACTTCTATACTGCTTCACAGTGCTTTACAGCCCACTCTAAGCAGTTTACAGAGTCAACCTATTGCCCCCAACAATCTTGAGTCCTCTTTTTACCGACCTCCAAAGGATGGAAGGCTGAGTCAACCTTGAAACAGTGAGATTCGAACTGCCGAACTGTTGGCAGTCATAGATTACAACTCTGTGCCAGCGTTTCATTGTGTAAACTCTTGAAAGTTTAAAATCCTGAGTCTGTTCAAGGCTGAGAGATTTTTTTCAGCATGACTGCTCTCACTTTGCTCCGCAGCAAGGTGGCAGACATGACCTTAGCTAACTTCATAAAGCTTTGGCTAGTGCTAGGATGAGCCACTAGCAGAAAACCCCAGGACTGTAGATAAAATTAAAATTTAAAAATCTCAGGTGATAATGCCAAATAATGTTAGATATACACAACACATTTGGCTCTATTAGTAAGTTTATTATCTGAATTCCTAGAATACATTGAATTATCAGCTCACTGAAAGGGTCTCGGTTTACACATCAGCCTGAGCCACAAAGACTCAATCTCAAGAAAACTGAATTTAATACATAGTATGAACACACTAAAGAGCGTTTGCGACTTATTCTCGTGGTAAATCTAAGGGTATGTTTTGGAAAATAGGCCTGAGTTTGGCAGCATTTTGAAAAGTGCATATTTAAAACTGCAACTTTATGGGCATGTTCTAGAATAGGTTGTCCAAGATGCTTTTTCAAGAGGCAACTGGATTTTCTTTCTTTCAAAGAAAGTCCAGTTGCCTCTTGAAAAAGCACCTTTGAGACAACCACAACTGAGCATCTTGAGTTCATTCTAGACTACGGATGCTCTAGAACAAAGATGACGTTAGTGCCACAGAGATTTCAAACTAATTTCTCTTGACCTCCAGACTAATTTTCTAGAAACAGCTAGTTTGGATTTATGGAATAATCAGATAGTTCCTGCTTTCTATATGACAGGGGGGGGCACTATGGCAACTTTACAACCTGTGGACTTCAACTCCCAGAATTCCTGAGTTAGCCAATTCTGGGAGTTGAAGTCCATAGGTCATATGAGAAGGAAGAAGAGAAAGGGGAAGAAAGCGAAATCAGAATAGACAGAAAAGAATGGCTAGTTCCAGATATATTTGGAGGCCCTCCCCCCTCAACCTGTAAAGGCATAATGGCATCTACCAGTTTATTTTGAAGGAAACCAAGAGGTTGCCTTTCTGTATTGAAAACAATGCCGTTGCCTGATGAAGTCAGCCTAAGGTAGATTCTAAAGCAGGCAGAACCTTATGATAAAAAATACAAAGCAAAAACTTCCATTAAAAAGTTTGATCAGATATGCAGCTTGAATGACAAGAAGACTTTTAGGGACTTGCACTCCAGAGGTGCCTTTTGATGTTTTAAATTAGTATCTCTCGACTTCAGCAATCTTTAGAAATGCAAACTTCAAATCGCAGAATTCCCCAGCTATCATAAGGTGTTCAGGTCTACACTTCTTAAATTAGCTGAGGCTGAGAAACACTGGTTTAAAGTATTCCCACAATAAAAATGGAACTCAAAACATTGTGGTAACCCACACAAACAGGTAATCTACTCTCATTTAAGAAAGGGAGTAACTTTTTTTTTTTAACATATTAGGAATGCTAAGAAAGCCCTTTTTATAGGGAGTTCACTCAGTGTAGAAAAAAAAACTGTGGCTGCTGTTTCTGTACCTGAAATGTACAGCTAGCTTAAAAGAGAGCCAGTTTGGTCTAATGGTTAAGGCACCAGGCTAGAAAGCAGGAGCTATGAGTTCAAATCCTGCCTTGGTCATGAAAGCCAGCTGCGTGACCTTGGGCCAGTCACTCTCAGCCCATCCACCTCGTAGGGTTGTTGCTTGTTGGGAAAATAGGAGGAGGAAGGTGTATTAGATATGTTCACTGCCTTAAGTTATTTCTAAAAATAATAAAAGCGGGATATAAAATAATAAGTAAATTAAAAAGCAGCTTAGCTCATAGTAGGAATGTAGGCGGGGCAAGAGGCTCAGAAGAGACCCTCCCTAGTTTTGGGGCTATAAAGGGGATGTGGGGAGAAGTGTCCAGGCTTGCAGGATTCTGTTCATGTAACCCTCCAATAAAGTACAATTATCTTATCTAATCATGTTTCCTATTTAGCCTACCAACAATAGTAAAGGTGACACATACAAAGCTTCAGAGAGGAATCAGCATTCTGCTTCATTGTGATGCTTGGGTTACAAACTAGAAATTAAAACAATAAAAAAATCCAATATACTCAAATTATTATGTTTTGATATGACAAAGTTTTAATATTTTAGAACTGCCACCACCCACAATCCAGGCTTCAGGGAACGTGGACTTTACGTAGCAAGTCAATTGTGGCCTCTTTGGTAAGGAATAGGGTTTCACTCGTGTTTTGGTTGCACACTTCGAAGAGAGGAGGGTCATCCAAAGCCTTCTTCCCACATATTATAACAAAAGGATAGCCAAGTTTGTCAGCGTCTTTTAATCTTTTGCCAATGGTGAACTGAGTCCGGTCATCCAGCACAAGTTCTTCTTTAAGTTGGGGTATGGCTTCAGCAACACACCTGTGTAAATCCTCTATGATTTCTGTTGCTTTGTGTGCCTTACTGCCACTTTTGGGAGGGATAAGGCAAACCTGATAGGGTGCTATGAGGTTTGGCCAACGAATGGCATTCTCTGTTGAAAGCAACTCAATGGAGGCCGCAAGGATGCGGGTGACACCCAACCCATAACATCCCATTTCAGCTAGAACGGGCACATTGTCAGCAGTTTGGACAGTAGTTTTGAAAACAGAAGAATATTTAGTTCCCAAGAAGAATGTGTGGCCTACTTCAATCCCTTTCTTCTCAACCAGTTCTCCTTTGCAAGCAGGGCAACGCATCTCATCTGACTTTACTATCTCTAGATTGGCTGAAAAGTCACAGCTGGTACACATCGCCAATCGGTCCTCACCGACATCGGAAGGTAGCTGGAATTCATGAGACAATGTCCCTCCGATGCTTCCTGTTGCTCCTTGGACTTTCAGAAACTGAAGCCCCAACCGGCTGAATATGTTGCAGTAAGCTTTGCACACCAGGGAATAGGTCTGGAGGGCAGCCTCCTCAGAGACATCAAAGCTATACATATCCTTCATATAGAACTCTCGGCCACGGAGTAACCCAAAACGAGGTCTCGGCTCATCTCGAAACTTCCTTGTCACCTGATACAACAAAAGAGGAAGCTGTTTGTAAGACAAGGAGCCTTGAGAAGCTACTAAGTCTGTGATGGCCTCCTCATGGGTAGGCCCTAAACAATATTCTTGACTATGCCTGTCAGTCACTCGCAGAAGCTCTTTGCCCATCAGGTCCCATCTCCCACTGGCTTTCCAGAGCTTTCCTGAACATAGCGTTGGCATGTTTATTTTTTGTCCACCTATGGCTTGCATTTCTTGGTCTAAAACTTTGATAAGCTTCTCCATTGCTCGGACAGTATAAGGCATATAGTAATAGCATCCGGGATTGGCAGGACAAATCAATCCAGTTTGTAACATCAATGTTTGGCTTTTACACATTGGTTCTCCAGATCTGCTCTCCTGGAATGCTTCAGTGTCATCCCGCAGATTCATTTGTGGAAAAAGCTTTTGTTTTTTATGAAAATTGCAGTAAGACCTGTAACTCTGCCTTTGGCAGCACATGACCCAATTAGCCAAACAAGGCAGTACTATTTTTCCTGTTTTAAAAAGTTGATCCATTTTAAGATTCATTTTAAGATTCACAGAGGAAGCTTCAGTTCCAAATCTGCAGGAAAAGAGAAAGTAACAAAAACTAATTTCACATAATTAAGCTTATAAGGTACGCTATGCTGTATGCCATTGTATGACAAAACAATTCACACTGCATTGACAAGTAAATAAGAAATATTCTGAATGAGTTTCTAAAATGATTTGAAAATAAGGTGTTTCTAGAAAAAAAACTTGAAAAGCTTGTTTGCAGAGATGGTCTCAAAGAACCATTAAAAGGTGTCCCACCACCTTCTAAATACATATACAATAAATAAAATACACATCTTAAATCCTCACACAAATTTAAATATATTTATAAATATAAATTTATAAAAAGGGGATGCGGTGGCTCAGTGGCTAAGACGCTAAGCTTGTGGATTGAAAGGTTGGCAGTTAAGTGGTACAAATCTCTAGTGCCGCTTAACAAGTGAGCTCCCGTTACTTGTCCCAGCTTCTGCCGACCTAGCAGTTCGAAAGCACGTAAAAAATGCAAGTAGAAAAATAGGGACCACCTTTGGTGGCAAGGTAACTGCGTTCCATGTACCTTTGGAGTTTAGTCATGCCGGCTACATGACCATGGAGACGTCTTCAGACAGTGCTGGCTCTTCGGGTTTGAAACGGAAATGAACACCGCCCCCTAGAGTCCGGAAAGACTAGCACATATGTGCGAGGGGAACCTTTATCTTTATAAATATAAATTATCTCTAGACCCCCCAACCAATTAGTGTCAGAATAGGAAGAATGGAAAGAAACCCAAGTATATCCTTAACCTACTTCTTAGGTAAACAAAAACAAAAACCAAAACATTTTTCTTTTCTAAATCCTTTCAGGGACGTGAAAGGGAGAGAGAAAGTGGGTAAAGAGGAGTGGAATTTTCCTTTTGTATTTTATGATAAAAATTGTTACAACAACTTCTGATTATAGTATTTAGCTAAATAATAGTTTAGACTTTAAAAAATGTAGCTGGCAATTTAACTGGATCCATCCTGAATGCCTATTGAGCAACAGACAAAAAACCAGATCTCTCAAAACACATTTTGATGTTATAAATTGTGTAACAATTACAAGGAAATATAATGCAGGAATCAGCTAGCTTTGCAGCTGCTGAAATGAGCAGAAAAAAATAACTTCCAAAGGATCTGAGAAATTACATACATTAATTTGATTTTGATTAAATTAATCAAATTGATTAATTTGATTTTGATTTTAATATTTTTGGATATCCATTTTTTTAATCGCATACCTATTACCTGGAAATTGGACAACAGACAGGGATTATGTATGTCTTTCTCCTTGTCAAGAATCCTTTAACATTGGAAAGACACATTAATGGCCCAAATTACTCAGTAAATTGATAGTACTTGCAACTAGAACAAACATAGCTTATATAATGAAGGGCATAATAAAATATGGCAATCCTTTATCAGAACTGGACAAAAAATGTATGTATGCTATATTTCTGGGTTTATATATTGCTTCCTTTTCTCCTTTCCTTTCTCTTTCACTATTGCTTTATTTTTATTTCTTCTGTTCTACTAAAACAAGCAACCCTTTCCTTAATAAGCATGCAAATAAATAAAAGATAATATATTTAATATTAAACATCCTAACTCCTATTTAAACATTACTCCATTCAATGTAAAAGTTGGCTACGTTTTCATTACCTTACTGCTTTGTATAGACATAGTTGTTTCAGTGCACAAATGTCTTGTAACATTAGATCTTGCATCATTTTGATGCAGAAAGAAACAATGAGTTACTTAATACCACTCATTATTCCGCTTACAGTGTTATCCTATAGTATGAGAAGGAAGCAGATAAGCATTATTAATGATGAGGCAATTGTGTACAGCAATTCAGAATTCTAACTTGAGGCAAAGGTGGGCAAATATTTTGGGCAAAGAGCCAGCTCCATTTAGAAGACCATAATAGTGAGAAAGGTAGAAGGAAAGGAAAGATGAGAAGCAATGTGGATGGACCCGATTACAGTGGTGATGGCTACACTTTTGGAAGACCTGAAGAGTCAACTGGTGACAGATATCCTGGAGAAGGTCTACATTAGTGTCTTTCAACTTCAGCAAATATAAAATAAGTGCACTTCAGTTCCCAGAGTTCCCCATCCAGCATGTCCACACGTTAAAGTTGTTGAAGTTGGGAAACATTGGTCTGTGTTTTGCTAAGGGTCAACAGTAACTTGATAGAATATAATGAATCAATCAACTATAAAGAATGCAAATGGGGAATAAAGCCTCTCTATTCAGCCATACCATTACTTTAGTTACTTTTCAGAATGAGATTGGCATTTTAGCAATAGCAATAGTACTTAGACTTATATACCGCTTCACAGTGCTTTACAGCCCTCTCTAAAAAGTTTTACAGAATCAGCCTATTGCCCCCAACAATCTGGGTTCTCATTTTACTAACCTTGGAAAGATGGAAGGCTGAGTGAACTTAAGTCTGGTGAGATTTGAACTGCCAAATTGCAAGCAGCTGGCAGTCAGCAGAATTAGCCTTCTAACCACTCCGCCACATTTAGATAGATAGATAGATAGATAGATTGATTGATTGATTGATTGATTGATTTGGGGAATAAGATGGATGGTGCTTCAAATTCAATGCCCTCAAAGTGCTTGGGATAATGAGAGCATGGATGTAACCCATCTGTAACTTTTTTAAAGCAGTTACATTTTATCTCATAAACAATCCAATCTTTCCTTAGCTGTGGCAAGATCCAAGGGAAAAGATAGGGCACGTTTAATAACTCACAGGCAGCTGTTGCATTCATGTTCCTATGTTTTCCAAGCACTTTTGGGATACTGGGATACTTTTGGGATACTGAATATGAAACACTGCACAGTCTTGACCAATTGTAACTCACGGCTCACATGGCCAGTGGGGATGGCTAATGAGAACTTTAGTTCAACTATATCTGGAATAATGCAAGTCTTCTACCTCTGCTTTATTACAGCCATTCCCAACCTGGTGCCTTCCAGTTTTCTGGAAAAGTATGGGTACACGTAGAGGAGGTTATTCCAATGCGTACTTTGTTAAATTAAATGCTTCTTGATGTTTTTGTGAAGATCATCAGCAACAAGCCTCCACAGGAAGAAATTCTGGGAAATAAGTCGCATTGCACACAATGGGCACAGATCATATATTTTGAGAGATTCAACCTAGAAATAAGGATAAATTTTCTGACAGTGAAAACAATCAACAGGTTGCCTTCAGAAGTTGTGGGAGCTTCACCACTGGAAGCTTTCAAGAAGAGACTGCCAGAAATGGTGTAGAACAGTGCTTATCAACCTTGGACGCATGAAGATGTGTGGTCTTCAACTCCCAGAATTCCCTATCCAGCTTTACTGGCTGGGGAATTCTGGGAGTTGAAGTCCACACATCTTCAAGTTGCCAAGGTTGAGAAATACTGGTGTAGAACCTCCTGCTTGGGCGGGGAGGGGGAGGTCGGAGTAGATGACCTACAAGGTCCCTTCCAACTGTGTTATTCTGTTATCTGTTACTTAAACTGCAGGGCTGCTCCAACTGCAGATATACAGCGCGGTGTCTACAAAACAACGTGAGCAAACTCGCCAGGAACAGCCCGAGAACAATCCATCCCGCTTCCATCTTGCGTTCACTTACGGCACCGTGGCTAGGATCGCTTTCCTCGTTGCAAAAACTCACCGATGCCATTCAAATGCGGAGCGTGACCTTCCAGCAATTGTGCAAGACCTGCGAGCCATTCGAATGCAACTACGCATGCGTACACATAGTTTCCTTGTCATTTCGGAACGCTTCCGGGCTCACATAGTGAAGCGGGCGACGCTTTTCCCGCGTTTTTTGGAGGACTATGGAAAATGCTTCTGGTCCAAATTCCGTCATGTGACCCATAAGGAGTGCAAAGCTTTTTTATTCTTATTATTTTTATTTATTTTTTTACATTTTGACTGCAAGCGCATGCGCACGTTCGCCAGGTTTTTTAATCTTACTTGAGACATGTGCCTGGTCAGACGTTCTGTTATATACCCGCGCCCACGTTTCAGGGTTATAAGAGGCTTCGTTTTCATGCCTTGTTAGGTTGCAAATATTGCAATATTCTTTAATTTTAAAAAACTATTATTGAAGGGCTAGCCCTCATCTATGAATCAGCAGAAAAGTATTGCAGCATGGAATTTGCTTCTGCGTTGCTAGTTATGCCTCCCGTCTACATCGGGACGGAACTGGATCGCTGCGCAACGGTGCAGTCCAGATGACATGTGGACAATGCGTGATGGGCAAAGGAGTAGCTGATTATTTTGGCTTTGTTGATCTTCCTCTTCCCCGCTTTTCCAGCTGGCGGGAAGAAGAAGAAAAAAACTCTCCCTATCAGATCAGATCAGAAATGGGCAGGTCCAACTGCAAGACTTTCCGCCCATTTCTAGACTCCTTGTGCCCCTTATCCTCCATCCCATTCCTTGTAACTGGAGCTGAATAAAATTAAAAAGAAAAAGAAAAAACAGATTGAAGAGAGAGGAATCACCTTCAGTATTTTAATTTAGAACTTTTCTCCCCATATATTCCTTTAGCACCAAGAGCTGACTTCCCAATTCTTCAATGTCCCTTCTGCCCAGGAGGTAATCAGGGATGGTCTTCCTGTCATTACATTCTTACTATTTCAATCTGGCAATAAACTGGTACTAGTTAAAGCAGTTTTGCTGAGCAATTCTGTGCTGCAGTGCTGTTTTGTTAGATTTATCCTTATTCCTTATTAGACTTATTCCTATCATGCATGTCCTCCCACTTAAGACTATGACTGTAACCTTGCTGCTGGTATCCTTAAGATTTATATTGACTTGTTTCCTAATATGATTTGATTACTTATTTGTTCCCTATGACTATCATTAAGTGTTGTATTTTATAATTCTTGATGAATGTATCTTTTCTTTTATGTACATTGAGAGTGTATGCACCAAGATTAATTCCTTGTGTGTCCAATCACACTTGGCCAATAAAGAATTCTCGTCTCGTCTCGTCTTGTCTTAATTTTGCTACTTGGCTATTCTTTCTCAGATAATAATAATAATAATAATAATAATAATAATAATAATAATAATAATAATGAGGAGGAGGTGTTGGGGTCTGCAGTCTGCAGATCTGGATGTGGGACATCAGGGTTCAGCTGAACTCTGGCAAGACTGGCTTTGGGTTTTGGGGGCCTACTAGTTGTAGAACTATGCCACCTTTGCTGCTGGATGGGGTGGTATTGCCTCAGATGGATCTGGTGTGCATTGTGGAAGTTTCCCTTAGATGATGGGTGTCAAACTCATCGTGTCACGTTGACATCACATGCTGTTTCATGACGCTTTTCCCATTTGTGAAGCTGGGGTGGATGTGCCTGCGTGTGATGCATCCGGCCCATGGGCTACCAGTTTGACATCCCTGCCTTAGATTCGCAACTCCTACTCAATGAACAGGTGGCAGTCTTGGCACAGCTTTTTCTTAGGTGCCAGTTGATCTGGATTGGGCGGTTCTGCTCACAGTCGCTTATGGCCTAGTCACCTCCATATTGAACTATTGAGAGAGAGAGAGAGCAATAGCACTTAGACTTATATACCGCTTCACAGTGCTTTTACAGCCCTCTCTAAGTGGTTTACAGAGTCAGCATATTGCCCCCAACAATCTGGGTCCTCATTTTACCCACCTCGGAAGGATGGAAGGCTGAGTAAACCTTGAGCCTGGTGAGATTCGATCTGCCAAATTGCAGGCAGCCGGCAGTCAGCAGAAGTAGCCTACAGTACTGCATTCTAACTACTGGGCCACTGTGGCTCTTAGATATAAATGATATAAAGATAGGTATAAATGATATAGAGATAGATAGATGATAGGTAGATGAGAGAGAGAGAGGGAGGGAGAGAGAGAGGGAGAGAGAAAATATAGATCAGGGCTGCCAAACTTGCAGCCCATGGACTGGATGTGTCAAGCACTGGTTTATTTCAGGGTTCAAAAAAATATAAGACAGGGTCTTATTTGGATGATATCTGTATTGTCTGTCTGTCTAGCTGTATATCCATCCACCTCCATATGAACTTGTGCAAATTTTTAGATAGCTACTAGAGGCTGAGCACAACCTGAGTGAGTCTTTATCTCTAGTTTTGGTTATCAAGGACTTTCTCAGTTAAACTTTTAGTCTATTACATAGAAAACTGATACTTATCCTATGCTTTATTAATTTTCCTGCAAATCCTGCTTTACTATTCTTTGCACAATATTCAATTTTTACAACCTGATCAACAAGGTTAGTTAACTATTTTAGAGATTTTTTTCCCCAGTTACAGAAGCCTGCAGCAATTGGATACCATAAAGTTAAGTAATATGGGACTGGTTGGTCTTAGGCTGTTTTCCTGTAGGCAATTTTGTTTAAACAGTGTAAGTGGAATAAAATCTGTGCCTCTATTAATTCTGCAGTTGTCAAATATTAGAGTTCTGATATAACAGTTAGCAATAATATGGTTTGTTTGATTTTTATTAGCAAACAGTGCAAGCCCACCCAGTGTATTCTGTATTTTTGGATTTATTTAGTTATCAAACTTCTTAACTGCCCATCTCCCTCGTAGAGGGGCTTTAGCTTGGTCTAGAATGCTGGTGGTTTCCTAGCTGAAATTACTGTCATATTGTGAAAATATGGATTGCTACTCTTACCATCCCTATCACTCCCCTCACTCCTCTCACACACCCACACCCAAGTCAATTTTGCCTAAAGGCAGGGTTGCTCTTGGCTCCTCCAGTTGAAGATAGCTTGTCATGGGTGCTTTCAGTTTTTTGATTTGGCCTTCCTAAATTGCTTTCAAAGTTCTGTAATTGATTTATAGCATATGACATGGGGGACAAATTCCTGCTCTGGGATTTGTTTTCAAGTGAATTGTAAATTTTTAAATCTTGTTATAAAAATAAGATGAGTAAACAGCCTGTCAAGAGATGGTCTTTATAATGCCATAAGTCCAGGATGGAAATTTGACTGGGTTGTATCGGTGAAAATGCTATCCCAGGCTGATGATCATTTATTTTATTTCCTGAAGTAATTTCCTGGAATTGGGACAATTGTACAAAAGGAGGGTTGCTAATAGGTTTAGCACTGTGAATTTGTTCTTTTTATAATAATTAAAAGATGCTTATTGAATGTGTGTGACAAAAGGGATGTAATTTGAGTGTCTGAAGAATGTTCTGGTCCAGTTTCAATCTGGGTTGTGTAAGAATGATAATGGACACACAATTGGAGAGGAGGCACGTAGGTTTATTTGAAAGCATAGAAACAGAACTTAAAGGTAGCTACAAAATAGAGTACAAAAGATCAGGTTCTTTTATAGGGAACATGGTCTTTGAGAGGGGGTGTAGGGTATGAGTAAATATGTGCCTCCAGTGATGTTTAACTTGGTGCACATGCAACTCTGGGGGGGGGGTATTTTAATTAACTTTATGTAAAGGATTTTCCGTTTGTTATTATTTGTGCAGGTTAATTACTTAGCCTGGTCATTTATTACTAAAGGAGGTATTGATAGATGATCTTTGTAACATAGTTTTCAAGTTTGGGTTACTGGTGGGCCATGTTAATGATTAAAAGGAGAGCTGGAGACAGTACAGGAATAAATGTAATTTTCAATTGTTGGAAGAAATATCCTTCTGGGTTCAGCTCCAAGTGGGGAAAAAGACACTGGAAACATGGAGACTGCTTGGAAAGATGTTTTAATGGTGGACAGGATCACATGGCTTGATGGGGCCCATTGTGTTAGTTTCTGTTGCTATTGTGTTGCAAATGTCCTTTGACAAAGGATTGACTTTCGGCCTCTGGCCCATTAACAAAGGGTGGGGGGCAGGAAGGTGGGAGCTGCTTTGTCTTTAAAACATGCTTCTCCATTTCTCATCCAGGGAAACATAATATTCTGCCTTTTTAATATTTCCCAAAATATTTCATTCCTCTAGGAAAGGGGTAGGTGCTAACTTCCTACAGAATTAAAATTCTTTTTCCAATTGTTAAAATTCTTCCCAAATGAGAAAGCGTCTCAAACATGATCATCTTCCCTAGTTTTCATTACAAAAAGGAAAGGAAAGGGGAAATACTGTACATTCACAGATTAGCAAGATTCTTATAATAAAAGTTGTATCAGTTTGTGCATCTTTGGTTTCCAAATTTGGTCTAAGTCCAAGTTTGGACTGGCAGTTGTTTGCTGTCAGTATTACCTGTGAAGAAGAACCTTCTTTCAATAACAGAATAACAGGGTTGGAAGGGATCTTGGAAATCATCTAGTCCAACCCCTTGCTCAAGGAAACCCTATACCAATGGTGGCGAACCTTTTACTCACTGAGTGC